TAGTTGTCATTATAATGACAGTTTATAAGCAGATATTCAAAGGTATTAATTGCAATAAAAATTAACATACAACCACTTTTCATACTAACTAACTAACTAACTAACTAACTAACTAACTAACTAACTAACTACTAACTAACTAACTAACTAACTACTAACTAACTAACTAACTAACTAACTAACTAACTAACTAACTAACTAACTACTAACTAACTACTAACTAACTAACTACTAACTAACTAACTAACTAACTAACTAACTAACTAACTAACTAACTAACTAACTAACTAACTAACTAACTAACTAACTAACTACTAACTACTAACTAACTAACTAACTAACTACTAACTAACTAACTAACTAACTAACTAACTACTACTAACTAACTAACTACTACTAACTAACTAACTAACTAACTACTACTAACTAACTAACTAACTACTAACTACTAACTAACTAACTAACTAACTACAACTAACTAACTACTAACTAACTAACTAACTAACTAACTAACTAACTAACTAACTAACTAACTACTAACTAACTAACTAACTAACTAATAACTACTAACTAACTAAACTAACTAACTACTAACTAACTAACTAACTAACTAACTAACTAACGAACCTAACTAACTAACTAGCTAAACTACTAACTAACTAACTAAACTAACTAACTAACTAACTAGCTTAACTACGACTACTACTAACTAACTACTAATCTAACTAACTTACTACTAAATAACTTAACTACCTACCTCACCTACTACTACCCTACCTACCTACCCTACCTACCTAACTAACTAACTAACCTACTAACTAACTAACTGACTGACTGACTTAACTAACTAAACTAACTAACTAACTACCTAAAAACAGTTCTTCTGGGGGGTCATTCGAGAACCAATCTAACTTTAGTACAACAAGAAAGACTATTACATAAACGAAAACCATTCATCTTCTGATTCTGATAAAGAATTCTATAAGTTTAAAAGTTTAAACTCATATTTCCTAAACACACATTGCCTTAATTATAAGTAATACCTTTAAATCCCTGTGTCTGTACTCCATAAAAATTACTTTCAATAGCTTAATGCAAAATTTCATATTTGTCTATATTTAATACTTATTTAAGTCATACTTAAACCATTTTTGTTGATTTTTGTATTATCAAATCAAACAAATATGAAAACAAGTATTTTATAAAAAAAAAAAAAAAAAACTAAATAAAAACCTTGTAACAGTGCCCTCAAATAAACTTAGACAAATAAATACATATTGAAAACAAACCAAAAAAATTAAATAAAATAACAATAAAAACAACAACAAATAATAATAAAGTAATAATAAAATTGAAATAAAAATCAGCAAGCAAATGAAATTGGCAATTAATAACAAATTCTAAACGCGTTTCGTTTAACAAATAAAAAAACAGACATTAATAAAAAAATTTATAAAAAAAACGTTAAACTGAAAACTAAACGAAAAAAATATGATTTAAGTTTTAAACCAGTTGTTAAAGGGGTTGAGCAAAAAATCAAATAAATATAAATGAAAGTGTTTATATTTTTAACAACTTTTTGGAAAAAAACGTGATAAAAGATTTCGGTTTATTTTCAATATTCTTAATTGGTCGGTAACTTTGCCAGAATTTATTTTCTTAAAGCAGTAAAACAAGACTACTAACACTAGGACCCTTAATAACCTAGGCTTATGCCTTAACTATGAGTTAGATATAAGACAAATTTGTTTTTCTTAAATCCACTTTAAAAATTCACTTTGTTATTAAAATTCAGATTAAAAATTTCACATTTCATTTTAATTTAAATGAAAACTAAACAATTCTATCAAAAAGCTATAAATGCATGTTAATTGAAATTGAAATTAATGTTACTTGTCAATTAAGATAATCAAAATAAAACAATAAAATTTAAATTATATTAATTATATTAGATTTTATTCAGTAAAAATAATAAAAAAAAAAATTTAACAAAAAAATATAAATATGTGTAATAAAATTAAAATAATTTAAAGTAAACAAATTAAAAGCAATTAAATGTTTAAAAGGAAAAGCGAGCAAGATCAAACGATCAGAGATTTACGGAAGATCTCATATGGGAGGTCCCCACAGACTGTCAGTAAAAGTAATTAATATTGTTCCAAAAAAAACTTATATAGATCAAATTTCATCAGTAACTAGAAGAGATTTATGAGCGATGCAAAGTTTTGGCAGAAGAAGTATTGAACAAGAGTTGTTTTAGGAAGAATTTGGTCGTAGCTTGAGCATGGACGGAGCTATTTGCAAAAGGTAGAAGGAATTTGGTGGAATTTTTTACGAACCCTATAATAATATTACAGACGAACTGACAAAAAAACATCTACTACTATATATATAACAAGAACTTTATAGATCTGTTGTATATTCATTACGAGTAACATAACATTTTGATGGCTGGTATTGTTAGGAGATATAATCGATCTTTTAAAGATCATATTTGCATGACCTGAAGTCTACAAATAATCTCCCAACAGTAGACTGTTAAGATTTACATTAGAAACATCTCAATATGTTATGACAGTGAACCTGCTGTCAAATTTATATCAGCTGTCTATAAGACAAGATCAAAAGAGGAAGTTGATAACAAATCATTTGAACCTAGAGTTGTTCTTTTAACATGTCAATCTAAAAAAAACTATATAATATTACAGACGAACTAACTAAAACATTCCATATACAGCGAGAACTTTATAGATCTGTTGTATATCCATTACCATGAGTACTTTACTTTACGAATGGCATAGGCATAGGTCTTAATGGTGCTGTTATGATAGTGGTTACAAACAAAATGATTTCTGACATTGCTAAAAAGTAGAAATACTAGGAGATATGATCGATCTTTTCAACATCATGTTCGTGATTGTCATATCTCGTGTTGAGGAAACTTTCGTATAAGCGGTTACTTTGAGTAGCAGTTCAAAATATTGCAAAATAACTTGAAAACTAAGGAATTAGGAGATGTTATGTACTCATTCTATGCATAAATCTCTTTTTTGGATGAAAATTCTAAATCCGCTCTGGCAAGATATGCAGAGACGTCATAGGTTCTAAACATAGTCAAAGTTGAAAAATCCAAAGGTATTATCATTTTGTATACGCTAAAGACTAAAGAATTCTATAACGAACAATAAACCGTGAATTTTTAAGGTGAACATATTATTTGTCATTTTCCAAGTAAATTCCGTCAGTTCTTTGATTCAATCAATATTTAGTCACTCTAGAATGGTCTAAATGAGGCTCTCACGAGAGCAAAAGGTGAAAAAAAAACATCGCAGACAGAAAAGTATTTTCTTTAAAGACAATTCCTAAGATAAAAATCGTCCAACATATGCGATATTGGACCGATCAAACAAGTTTAATGAAATTATGTACAATTTGATATAATTTAAAGGATATTAGGAACAAATCAAAAAAGTGATCTATATTGTTGCTTATAAACAAAAACTAAACGAAATTGCTATTACCCTTAACCAATCCAATAAATTACAAATGCGTAATCAAAGTCAAAAGTAGCAAAAGTAATATACAAGAAAACAAAAGTGAACACACAAATAGCTATTAATGGATTATAAAACAAATGACATTAATATGATTAAAAATACAACAAAATTATTACAAAGACACCAACAAATTATAAACATAAATATGGTAATTATTATATTAAAAAGTTCAACAAATAAAATACATGCAAATGGAATAAATGAAAGGAATGTATAAATAGAATTTAGAATTTAATAGGAAAAAACTCACCATATAGTTATATATTGATGATAATGCTGATGAAGGCTTTTATAAATGACGTTGAGGAGGTTGAATTTGACTTTAACTGCTAAATTTAATGTTGATGATAATGATGATAAAAGTTTAATCCAAGATTTTGGGTTTAATAATATTAATCCCCACTGCAGCTTTAATAAACCTCCAGTATTAGTACTGGAGTTAACCAGCTGTTGTAGTTATAATGAAATTCAGTTTGATGTTTGGCGGTTGTGAAAGTTCTTTTATTTGTTTGGAAGTGTTAATGTTTTCAATTTGTTCTAGATTCTTTATGCTAGGAATTTAGTTAACCGAACCGAAAGTTTTTAAATAAAAAAATAATTAAACGACACTTTTTAAAAAAACACTTGTCTCTCTTATTTATTATAAACATTTTTATTATTATTTTGTATTTACCAACGGATCGAACGGAAAATAATTAAGTTTATTTTTCACATTTTTAGTTTAATTATTACTAATTCTTGTTTTTAGGTGTAATTTTTAATTAATTGTTATTATTTGCTTAGTTTTATGTTTTATAGTTAATGAAACAATGAAACGAACGCAACGCGTATTTTTATTATTATTTTTTTTTTTTTAATGCACAAAACTACGAACTACGACGACGACGGACGTACGAGCGAGCGAACGAACGAGCGGGGCGAACAAACAGGTGTGATGAGAATGCACGAACGTACGTTGGTTTTGGTTTGTTTTGTTGTTTTTTAGTAAAGAAACAATAATAATAATAATAAATAAAAGAATACAATTAGAATTCAGCAAACTCTTTGGCGCACTTTTCGGTGCTTGAGATCCGCAGCGCCTCTTCCTCGTAATCATCGAAATTACTGGTATCACCGGGTCCTTTACACCGTGGCACAAATGGTGCCTCAATTTTCTTCTGGAAGATCGCTATCCAATCTGTGGAGGCAAACCATTTCTGATTTTTAATATCGTTAACGCCGGCCTTCAAATTGCCATAGCGTTTGGTCAGATCCACTTGCAACAGGTTGCGCAACAGATCCTTTAGATCAGAGCCAAAGTGTGAGGGAAAACGCACTTTACCCGATACGATTTTCTCGTAAATCTGTATGGGTTGATCGGCAAAGAAGGGTGGATAGCCAGCGGCCATTTCATAGACGAGTACACCGAGGGCCCACCAATCGACGGCCTTGTTATAGCCCTTCGAGAGAATAATCTCAGGGGCGAGGTATTCGGGTGTGCCGCAAAGAGTCCAAGTGCGACCCTTGACACGTTTGGCAAAACCAAAATCGGTTACCTTGAGGTAGCCCTGTGAGTCGATAAGCAGATTCTCAGGCTTCAAGTCACGATATATCAAGTCGAGATAGTGCAAATACTCAAAGGCGAGTACGATCTGGGCTGCGTAGAAGCGCGAGTGGGGCTCCGAGAAACGACCCACTTTGCGCAGATGCGAGAACATCTCACCACCGGGCACATACTCCAGCACCATGTAGAGGTTGGAGTTGTCCTTAAAGTGATAGCGTAGGGAAACCAAGAAGGGAAATTGTATGGCCTGCAGAATACGCTTCTCGTTGAGTGTGTGTTCGACCTGCTTTAGTTTGACGACCTTCTGCTTGTCGAGTATTTTCATGGCGTAATAGTCTTTTGTCGGCTTGTGTTGTACTATCATGACGCGACCAAAAGAGCCCGTACCCAAGGTCTTGATGCGTTCGAAGTCATCGAGACAGGCGGTATTTGTGGGATTGCGGCGCCATTTCTCTTCAAATTCTTCTTTGGCCTGTTCGAGAAACTCCTTGACGGTTTCTGCAGCATCGACCTTCTTGTTGGATGTCGTGGCGTTGTTACCCATTTTCGAGATGGTACCGGTAAGCGCTGATAGACGAAAGGTTGCTGTGGCAGACACTTGAGGGGCGTCCGAACTATCGCTGGCGTTTGCTGCCTGGGCGTTAGTAAGTGACGAAGTTGAGGCGGAGTGTGCACCTGTAGGCGGAGTTATTTTGCTGGATTTTTGCTGCAGCAACGACGACGATGATTGAGAGGGTGAAGTGGACGATGCCTGCGGCCGAGCAGTGGCAGAGTCCAATTTATTGGCCGTCAGCGATGGCGACGATTTGCTAGACGACGCGCCTGGACTGCTTGGCTCAAGCTGCTTGGCTAGCTGTGTGGACGACTCCTGCTGCTGTGTGCTCTTTGTATTGTCCTCGCCCGCTGCACTAGATGTTTGAGGAGTTTTTTTCTTTTTTAAAAAGCTTAAAATATGTTTCGCAATTTTGGAAATTTTTCAAAAAACCTCGAGAAGCAAAATTATTGATTTTTTAATAGTTTTTTGGCTTTTTTCTTTTTTTGACAACAGCGTAGGGAGGACAAACGCTGCTTTTGAGAACTATTATAAATTATAGCAATTTTCTGGCGGATATAAGTTATTTGTTGTTGTGTTTTTTTTTTTTTTTTTGTTTTTAAGGAAGATTCTTTCTTTAATTTTTTTACACTTTTTAGCTTATTATTTAATTTATTTTAAACACTGTTTTATAATTTTGCAATTTTAATTTTAACTATAATGAGAACAGAAAAAAAAGAAATAAGATTATGAATAATTTTCTTTGATTATTTTTGTTGTTATTTTTTTTTTTTCATTCCAATAAACAGAAATGTCAAGTAAATTGCAGTTTCCAATTAGTCAATCTTTGTTTCTCTTTTTGTTTTGTTGTTGTTGTAGAATGAACAAGTGTTTATTTTTGTAGTTTACATTTTTTGTTACATACACACACACTTCCACACAAACTAATTTTGCTCACACATTTTTTTCTTCTTTACACACTTGTCATTCTTAGTTAAGTGATGTCAATGTTGCTAGTTAAACGAGAAAAAGTACGAAAAAAGTAGCAGAAATTGTTATGCAAAACTTTCGTTAAATTTTAATATTTTTACAAAAGAAATCGTTACTAAATTTATAATTAAAGTTTATAAAAATGTAACAAAAATGTTATGTAACTAGTTTTTATGAATAAACAAAATTTTTTATTTGAATTCTAAGAAAAAACATTTAATAATTATAATCATAAAAAACGAAAATTTTTCGACTATTTTATTTTACGAGAAGTAGATTTTACGACATTTAAAACTTTTTTAATAAGACTTTATCCGACTTTTATAATTTTATAATTGTCAGCTTTTCCAAAATTTTTCAACTTTATTTATTTCTTCGACTTATTTAGAATTCGACTTTGACTTTTCTACAAAATGACGATTATTTGTAAATCGATTTATAGAAGCCTATTTTATTCTATTGATTTTGATACATTAACTTTTTTTTTTACAAAACAGCTGATCAATAAACTACAGTTATCTTATTATTGCGCCAAATGTAAAAAAAAATAAAATTTTCCCTTAAAAGCTTTTGTTTAGATTTCGTAATAAAACTAATTTTTTACATTTTGTTATATTTTTATCATTTGATTTTCTTTGCAAACACTTGTTTGTATTATTTAGCAGTTAATATATATTTTTTTATTATTTTATTACTTTTGTGGCTGTTGCTTGTTCTTTTTTCATTTTATTCTTGTACTCGTTTTATTACGATTTTTTTTTTCTAAACGAATGACTGCGTAAAGGAAGTTTGTATGTATGTGTGTGTATGTGCATGATTATCATTTTTTTATGTTCATTATATTTTCGCTATGTACACATTTTTCAACTAATTTAGCCTCGATTTTTTTTCTACACAAAATTTTCTTTTTTCTTTCAAAAACTAATTGAAATTTATTTTTATTATTACTAAAATTTTAACAATATTTTCATTAAATTTTATGTGGTATTACGTTTTTTCATTTTTATTTGCATTTGCTATTGAATAATCGATTTTTTTTCTGTTCGTATAAGAAGAAAAATTCCACTTAAATCCAATTAGAGCACAAAAATGTTTCTTCCAATTTGTACGAACCTTTTTTTTTACTTTTGTTATAAATTAAACTTGTTACTTTTTAATAAATTTTATTAGATTTCACTGAGTTGTTGTTTGTATATATAAAAATGATGTGCGACTTATATATTGCAACTTAAAATTAAATACAATAATTTGTTTTGTAATTAATTGTAGTTTAATTATATTTTCTTTTTCTATTGAAAATTTATTTTTTTCTTGTATCTTTATTAGTTGGAGAAAAAAAATTATTACACTTTACAAAAATCCGCGAACCCGTTACGACATGTCAAGCTTCGGAATACAGACAGAAAACTGAAAAGAAAAACGATAAGAAGTTCTCCTTCATTCGATTTCCCCTAAAAATTTATCATAATTTTCTTTACAACACATTCTAATAAAAGAAAATGCAACCCTGTCTAAAGCAGGGATGTATGTTTTTGTATAGCAAGCAGCTTTTGTATATCACTTTACTTTTATATATATATCTCTTGAAAAAAGTGTTGCCTAGTTCTTGTTAGTAACTAAAAATAAAAGACGTGCAGAGCAGAGATACAAGCCGAGACGGCTCAAATCTGCGGCGGCTGGCCGCCGGTAATATTTTGCAAGCCGCGCCGCCGCCGACTTCTTTCGGCTCAAAAGCTAAGCCAGCTTAAGCGTAGCCGCTGATAAAGATTATAATCACACATGTATTTCAGAACATAATTTCACCAAATTGAACGGAGTTGCCACTATTTCAAATTCTTATGGCAAATTGAAAAGAATTGCCACACAATAGTTGTGTTTTGTTGCTATCAATGAGTGTTAACGCTTAAAGTTAGCAACAAAACGAACATTACCTGACTTGGCATCACTCCACAGAAGAAATCTGCTAAATCTTGAAATTATTTACAATTTCTTGAAAAGGTTTTTTTATTTGGTAATTTTCTTTGATTTAAATTTTGTTTTAAAATATTTTTTTATTGTTTGACATAAACACATTAATATTTGTATTTTTATTTTTGAATTGGTAGCACTTTTATCAACGTTAAAATTAACTTGTATAATTTTACACGTTAACTCCTAACGTTTATAAATTTTAAATTTATATGAAATTGCCTTTGAACGTTAGCAACAAAACACAACTAATATTGTGCTAATATTAAATTAGTGAAAACTACTATAAATGTCCATTTTCTGCAGAAAAAAAACTTATATAGAGACAGGTTTCTATGTAACAGACTATTATACAAAGATTTTTCTCAGCCGATAGCCTATGTTGCTAGTGCTTTAACTTTAAGATTTATTATAATTTTAATTGTAATAATATCTAAATAAATAAATAATAAATACAAAGATTTTTCAATATAATAAACCTTATAAGGTCAATTTCTAAAGAAAAAGTTAAATTGAGTCGACAATTTAGCCGCCGCCGATCATTTCCCATCGGCTTGTATCTCTGGTGCAGAGACTTGCGCCGATTCGGCTTAAGCCGACTAAGCCTAGCCGCCGAACAAAATGTCAAAGCCGCCGTCGCCGAAAATTTTTCCGCTTAATACGGCTTGAAAATTTCGCCATATTTTGTACAATTTACAGAACACTTTCGCCAAATTTATGGAATTTTACAATATAAAATTAATTTGTTTTCATTTAAGCAAGTTTTCTTTTATCTAATAATAAGCCGCTCATTGAAATTTGGACGGTGTTCTACAACGTTCGATGTATATTCTTCGCCTCAGATATTTTCGTGCTTTACGCGCCTAATTCGAGTCGCTGCTTTTATTTCAAACCAGCTTCGTTGACGTCAACGGAGCTACAGCTTTTACATTGCTGGTATGTCATACCGTAAAGGCCTAGGATATCGAACATGTGTATTTTAAATGGAAAGTGCAGTTGATGTCAATTCTGCCGACTGCGAAAAGAAATTCTGCTAGAATTTTTCGCGCCAAACTGGTTTCTGCATTTTTTATTTGAAAAAAAAAAAAAAATCTGCTGTTGTGTGTGTGCAAAAATCTAAAATGACAGAAATGATATTCTTTAAATAAAAAAATAGTTTTTTACTAACAATTGAAATTAATAAGATTGCTATACTACTATACCGAGGGTCATTGTGTAAAGAAACAGCAAGTGTTTGGTTTAATTTAGATAAATTGTTAATAACTATGATGAAAATGTTTTTCCAGGCGGCTAGAAGATTTGGCGTATTTGGAAGTAATGGTGTTAATTAATTATTTATTGGTCTATAAAGAACGTCTTTATTTTCAAAAAAGAGAAGGCATCATGATGGTCTCCTGGAAGAATGCCCACAAGAGAGTGGCAATTATATACCTTCCTAGTTACCTAGGCGGGTGGTGGTCGGTCGGCTAGTGGTGACATGGTATATTATCACCTAGAGGCAATGGACGGAAGCTGATTGCCGTATTCAGGGGGTATCCTTGGGATACATACTTATTATTATACCATTGATCTCAGCAGAATCACTACCATACACCCATAATAGAGCGCGATGTCTGCCTGGTGTGCCTTTCAGTGAAGCTCTTGTTGTCTCCAAACACTATGGTGGCCGAATATTTATAAGAAACAAGCCGCCTTTTATACAAATTTATAGCTTTGTAGAGAATGTCTTCACGGACCTAGAGGATAGAACCTGGCTAGGTATGTAGACGTTGTTTGGGCAAAATATTGGTACTAAACGATTAAAAACTGTAATTTGGTACTTCTTTTGCACCCCATGTATCTTTTAAACCAGAGAACATTCAAAAACATTAATATTCATCTGAACATTTTGGAGAAAAAAAGAGCGGACTTTCATCTGGGGGGCTTGGAGCTCCATATGAATTAAATAGAAAAATTCGTATATCTGAGAAACTATTAGAGCTAGAATCTTCAAATTTTACTGAAGAACATTTAGAGAAATTGCAATAATTTGCGTGGAATCTCCCATATGTAACAAATTGTATATCTGGAAAATATAGAATCATCAAAATCGTTGACTGGATTTCTTATTTATATTGCTTTTAGGGTAGCACAGCACACTGGGTATAGCTAGTAAATAAACAAATAAAATATCTTTGTTTTTACGTTTTATATGGAGGATAGGGTTAAACATCGGCAGATCCTCGTAAAACTTGGAGAAAGGATTTGTTTTTAATTTTTAAGAATTTTTTATTCATCCCTGCATAATTTCTCACACAACTTTTGAGCTTGATCTGTTTTGTTGTTATAAACAATATATTTGCTTCCAAAATCCCACTTTCTGATCTCTCGGATTCCGTTTTTATTTAAAATCGTTGAAAAACTAAACGTAGTTGAAAACTTAGCCGGCTTACAATCGATTTTAAGCCGCCACCGACATATTTAGTGTCAGTCGCCGCCGCCGTTAATATTTGTCGGCGCAGGGCTCTGAACACGTGTATTTGTTTTTTAGAAAAGGTTTTCGTTTTTCATGCGTATTTCCCAAAAGATCCTCAGTGAAGCAGCAAGCAGAGAGGTTTCTCTAAAGTTTATTTTACAAAAATAAAACAAATTTACTTAAAAAAACTCCTAAAAACTAAATTAACAACATGGTAAGTTTTTAAACAAACATTTTTTGTTAACATTTTGATTTTTTAACCCTCAAATCTTTCCTTAATTTCTTATAGACCGAAGAAGTTAACTCCAAAGCTTTCCCCTTGGCCGATGCCCAATTGACCGCTAAGATTATGAACCTATTGCAACAGGCCTTGAACTACAACCAGTTGCGCAAGGGTGCCAACGAAGCCACCAAAACTTTGAATCGTGGTTTGGCCGATATCATTGTCATGGCTGCTGATACCCAACCCATTGAAATTCTTTTGCATTTACCTTTGTTGTGTGAAGATAAGAATGTTCCCTACATTTTCGTCCGTTCCAAGCAGGCTTTGGGCCGTGCCTGTGGTGTTTCTCGCCCCATTGTCGCTTGCTCTGTGACCACCAATGAGGGTTCTCAATTGAAGTCTCAAATCACTTCAATCCAGCAAGAAATTGAAAGACTATTAGTTTAAAGTTAAGTTAGAAAAGTATTCCACGTGTTAAATACTACCGCATTTTGTACAAATAGTGTTTACAAAGAAATGAAAAAAATGTTTAAGAAAATTTTAAATAAAGAAAAAATACACATGTTTTTTATTTAAAGATAAACAAATTTGTATTAAATTTATTATTTAGTTTTCAACAAATTAGCAACATGTCTTGATATACACATGCAGGTACTATACGTTGTACAGTGTAAATATTTTCATTAAATGATGAAATTATGAATAATGAATTTGGGCCAAAAAGATTTGACGTCAGGCCAACCAACTATCTGCTTAGAGTTTATAGTTTAATGTACATTACATTAGATCCGAAGGTCTGTTATGTTCTCTACGAAACCATGACCTACGAACTGAGGGACCGGTAGCAGCCAAATCTATGAAAATTCTACTTCTTTTTCCACCCTTTTTTGCTGGATTATGAACTAATTCGACCACACAAATATATCAAGTTATGACCGAATATCTAAAATCTTTGGTCTAACTTGAATTGCATCGTACTATACTTGAGACTTACTGAATCAGCACAATTTCTTAAGCGTCCTTTAACAACTGATGACTTAATAATATCTACTTTTTAAGGAAGAAGTCTCAAGAAATTTGAGATTTCAAAACAAACCTACCGGAGGCACCCAAGTCTGATCATGTGTTGTTGTTGTAACTGCCTAAACCAAACAATTTTCTAACTAGCGGAATCTATGTCAAACTTAAATTCTCAGAATTGTTATTTCTTCTTTTAGATTATGAACTAATTCGACCACACAAATAAATAGAACAAGTTTTGACTGAATATCTCAAATCTTTGGTCTATTTTGAATTGCTCAGTAAAATATACTATGCTTGAGGCCGACAGAAGCGATACAATTTCTCTGGGTTCCTCTAACACCTCATGACTTAATAATATTTACTTTTCAGGGAAGAAGTGGAAGAAGAAACTGTACTTTTAAGAAATGTTGGAATTTTTAGTTCCACATAGAGAAATATAATGAGGATTTAGTACAAAATTGGGAAAATTGAAAATTAAATCGGTACCTAATTGAAAACTTAGTACGAAATTAGTAGCAAATTGAGAATTTAGCACAAAATGTTGATTTGTACGACATTTAGTCAGAATTTAGTACAAATTGCGATTTAGTACGAAATTATAAATTTAATCCAAAATTGAGAATTTGATGCAAATAGAAATTTTAGAACAAAATTGAAAATTTTTAACAAAAATTCAAATTTAGTACAAAATTTAAAATTTAGTTCAGAATAGAAATTTTGATACAAAATTGAAATTTCAGTACAAAGTTGAAATTTTAGAACAAAATTGAAATTTTAGTACAAAATTGAAAATTGAATACAAAATAGAACATTTAGTACAAACTTTTCTGAAAATTTAGTACAAAATAGAATATTTAGTACAAAATAGAACATTTAGTACAAAATTTTCTGAAAATTTAGTACAAAATGGAAAATTTAGTACAAAATTGAACATTTCGTACAAAATTGAACATTTCGTACAAAATTGAAAATTTCGTACAAATTTTCAGGTTTAGTACAAAATTAAAATTTTAGTACAAAATTAAAATTTTAGTACAAAATTTAAGATTTAGTACAAAATTGCAAATTTACTAAACAACGATAAATATAGCAAAAAACTGAAAATTTAGACCAATTTCAATATTTAGTACTAAATTGCAATTCGAATGAGAATTGGTATCCCACCTGATCCGCTTAAATAAATACTAAACCCACAGTTTATATATGTATGTATATATTTATTTGTTTTTTTATTGTTTTATGATTTTTTTTATTATATTATATATATTAATTTTCTTGTTTAAGTCTAATAACATTGTGTATGTGTGTGTTTTGTTGTTGTTTTCTTGTTTAAAGATATAGATAGTTTGTTTGATTTCTGTACTATTTCTTAATCATTCAATATGTTTTTCTACATTACAAATCAATCATTATGTCCAAAAAAGAAAAAAGTGATCGTTTCTTTGTTAAAAAAGAAGGATCACATTTTTGTTAATGGTTTTATGCAATTGTATTTTGTTAGTAATAATTTATTGTTGTTTTTATTGTAATAATGTTTATACTTTTTTTCTGTTTGTTATGGTTGTTTAAATTTACGATAACTATGGTATAGTAATAAATATTTCTGTTAATAATCTTTTACAAGATTTAATATTAATTTGCAGGATTTGTTTTAAGATTTAACAGGACAATTGGTTTATTTTTAAGGGGAGTTTAAATGTTTCATTTTGTGGGTTTCTTTTTTGTCTATTTTTTATTTGCTGTATTTTTTTTAGCAATTTGCACAATAGTTTTTTTTATGGGAATTTAAAATTTTAATTTAATTTTCTCTTTTTTTTTTCAAGATAAATTTTCAATTATTTCTTTTTTACAATACGGAAATTGCGGAAGTGTTAGGAAAGTTTTGGGTTCTTTTTTTTTAATATAATTTAACATAACAGGGGTGAAAAACTAACAGGAAAAAATATTATTTATATATATATTTATAAAAAAAAAAACGTAAAGAAGGAATAACATAAAATCCACAACAAGCCCTAGAGACAGTAGACGTTGAGGCTTTGAAATTACTTTTTGTTTCTAAAAAGAAAATAAAAGAAAAAACAAATAAAATAGATTAGTAAACTAAAGACTAGATAAAGAGATAACAGCATATCTCTAACAAACAATTTAAAAATAAAAACTTTCCTTAAAACCACAACAATATAAAAACAAAATGATAAAAACTCACCTAATTGCTCTATCCATAATATTATTAATACGTGTTTCCGAATAACCTGGTACTAGTTTGTGTATAATTTCTTTGAGAAACAGATCACTTACGCCAGGACGACTGCGTTCGGCCAATTCAAATACCGATTTTAAATCGGCTATGTCCAAAACATTCATATTTTTACTGGAATTACTGCTATATTTACGTTGTATCTGTAATCATTAAGAAATAAATAAAATTAAAATCGTTTTCTTCTTTCATGAATTCTTATTTTAAAACTCACATCAGAGAGTATGGGAAAGAGGAAATTATTTAGACAGGGACTATTGGTGTTGGTTATAATACGATTGCCCATTACACCACTGCTACTGCCGCCGCCCGCCACTACTACCCATATTTTTATGATTCGCATTGGACGAAGTGGGCGAGTGAGCTGCAGTTGTTAGGGACTCATGATTTATAAAGTCTCTGTTGGCATGTGTATTGCCATTGTAAACATTGCCCATACTGCTGCTAGTAGCTAGCATATGACTGCCACTGCCCGATGAGGCAACAGCTACTGAAGAGTGTGAAGCTGCCATAGTACTGCGCCGCAGAGATCTTTCGTCTTCGTCGTCACGTTTACTATGATCCAATAATTGCAACTACAAAAAGAAGGGATAAAAAGGAAAAATAAGTTTAATTTTGTTTTAAATTCTCAAATTTGTACTAAATTCTGAATTCGTAAAAAAATTTTTATTTTGTCTAAATTTTCAATTTTGTACCAAATTCTCAAGTTTTCAACTTTGTACTAAATTTTATGTTTGATACTAAATTTTAAATTTTGTACCAAATTTTCAATTTTGTACTAAATTTTCAATTTGGTACATACTAAATTTTAAATTTTCTACTAAATTTTGTACTAAATTTTAAATTTTGTACTAAATTTTCAATTTTGTACTAAATTTTCAATTTTGTACTAAATTTTCAATTTTGTACTAAATTTTCAATTTTGTACTAAATTTTAAATTTTGTACTAAATTTTCAATTATGTACTAAATTTTCAATTTTGTACTAAATTTTCAATTTTGTACTAAATTTTCAATTTTGTACTAAATTTTAAATTTTGTACTAAATTTTTAATTTTGTACTAAAATTTTAATTTCGTACTAATTTTTAATTATGCACTAAATTTAAAATTTTTACTAAATTCTTAATTTTTTAAATTTCACTTTTGTAACAAATTTTCAATATTGTACTAAATTTTAAAATTTATATTAAATTTTAAAATTTATATTAAATTTTAAAATTTATATTAAATTTTAAAATTTATATTAAATTTTAAAATTTATACTAAATTTTAAAATTTATACTAAATTTTCAAATTTATACTAAATTTTAAAATTTATACTAAATTTTAAAATTTATACTAAATTTTCAAATTTATACTAAATTTTCAAATTTATACTAAATTTTCAAATTTATACTAAATTTTCAAATTTATACTAAATTTTCAAATTTATACTAAATTTCAAATTTATACTAAATTTTCAAATTTATACTAAATTTTCAAATTTATACTAAATTTTCAAATTTATACTAAATTTTCAAATTTATACTAAATTTTCAAATTTATACTAAATTTTCAATTTTGCACTAAATTTTAATTTTTGTACTAAATTTTCAATTTTTTACTAAATTTAAAATTTTGTACTAAATTTTCAATTTTGTACTTAATTTTCAATATTGTACTAAATTGTAAATTTTGTACTAAATTTTTAATTTTGTACTATATTTTTAATATTGTACTAAATTTTCAAATTTGTACTAAATTTTTAATTTTGTACTAAATTTTCAATTTCGTAGTAAAATTACTGAAATAATGAACGAAACATTTTAGGTGTGAAATTGATAGGGATCAAAGGTCAAACTTAAATTTTCAAATTTATACTAAATTTTCAATTTGCACTAAATTTTAATTTTTGTACTAAATTTTAAATTTTGTACTAAATTTTAAATTTTGTACTAAATTTTCAATTTTGTACTTAATTTTCAATATTGTACTTAATTTTCAATATTGTACTAAATTGTAAATTTTGTACTAAATTTTTAATTTTGTACTATATTTTTAATATTGTACTAAATTTTCAAATTTGTACTAAATTTTTAATTTTGTATTTTCAATTTCGTAGTAAAATTACTGAAATATTGAACGAAACATTTTAGGTGTGAAATTGATAGGGGTCAAAGGTCAAACTTATAAATACATATTTTTTAAATAAAAGAATTTGAAATTTTCACAAAATTTTTTTTTGCATTAATTGAAAATTTTTTGATATTTAATAAAAATTTGGATTTTAACATATCGATTATGCAGGTTTGACTAAAAGTTTGATTATTAGCAAAATTTTTAGTGAAAATTTTGATTTGTAGAGAATGTTGTAATTTTTTGTGAAAATTTTTAATTTTTAGTACAAATTTTAAGACAGATAGGGGTCAAAAGTCAAACTCATATATGATTTTTTTAAGTGAAATAATTGATTGTGATAATTTTAACTTTTAATAAGAATTAGTCACTCAAAATTTATTTAGTAGGGGTCAAAGGTCAAACTCATATATTAGGTGAAAAATTTATGTGAAAATTTAAAACTTTCAATGAGAAGGTTTGATGTTTGTTAAACAACTTGTTTACAAAATTTTGATTTTTGATATTTGTTGATTGATTTTCAATGAAAATTTTGTTCATGTTGAAGATGTTGCTGAGAAAAATTTGTCTGATTTTTAATCATGTTTTACTAATCTATTTTGTTTCTCATCTTTTTTAGTAGAACAATAAACTAATATTACTTAAACTTTCAAAAAATATAGATAAATCACTAACATTATTATCTTTTTACCATAAAATTATTTAATGGTATCTCAGCAGTCTACTTTGATTTCTATTATATTATTGTTTTAAGGGTCTATTTAAACACGTACAAAGTTTTGATTATATGACTGAAAGTCGTCATACACTTTTTTTGAATAGTATTTTGTTGTAGCGATAAACAACGAAAAGTGTTAAGAAAATAATAACAACAAAATATAATCTACACAAAATAACAAGTACTTATAAAAAACTCATTAAAGATTGTTTGTTAGTTGATTAATAAATGGCTAAATACGAAAATAGTTTGGTTTTGAAAATGAATAGAGAGGTGGCGGCGTTTGAATGAGAAATATGTTAGAAGTTTAAGGGTATACTTTGGGAACGTTAGGATTATTCGTAAAAGGCCCAAATCAAACAGGATTTCGGTTTCTATAAGAAACATAAAAAGTTTAAAATTTGTAATTTGTAAAGTTAAAGGGTTAGCAATCCCCGTTATTTAAACAAGTGATAAAAGTTTAAGAAATTTTTAATTTTCCCCTTTTAAGATTTCTATTATACCCTTGTTTATACATTGAAAAAGAACGTTATTATAGAAGATTTTAGTTACAATTTTACTTGATTTTTTATATATAAATATAAAATTTATACATTTTTCATTTAAAAGAATATATTTTGCCACCTCTATAGCACTACATCTTATGGAAAAGTTTTAGTTAGATTAAGGTTATCACAAAGCAAACAGTCAGAAGAATAATAGTGTTATTTAGTTTTGTGTGTTAATTCATTATAATCTTAAATGATTAGGAAATTTAAAGAAAAGCATTACCGATGAACGTCTCTCGATTTCGGCATCCATAGATGCGGTACGGGTAGGTCTAAGATTAACCTTCTGTTGTTCTTTATAATTGGAACTAGACGAGCTGGATTGCATAGCGCCCATAGCGCTTAATTTTGTTGAATTCTCTAAATTACCAGTTGAAGCGGCATGCGCATGTTTTTGCTGCTGATGCTGTTGGGACGATGACGACGAGGATGAGGAGGAGGATAATTGGTGTGAAGAATGTTGCTGTTGGTGTTGTTGCAATGATTGCTGCTGCTGCTGATGATGAGAATGATGAAGATGGTGATTCGATTCCCGAGTGTTAGCTGAGGCATTAGCCGCATTTGAGGACGTTACAGTTGTGACGGAAGATGGCACCATCGATGGTGTATTAGAGGAAGAGTTTGAAGCAGATAATGAAGCTAACGACGACGAGGACGATGATGTGGGTGTGGTTGCATTATTGGGCGTAAGGCTGTTGTCACGTTTTTGTGAATTTAACAAAGAGCTGCTAATATTTGAAGCACTGCTGCTTTGTTGATGTTTGCTGTTAACATTGCTGCTGCTGCTTAGTAGGCTAGACGGCGTTAAGGTGTCAGCTACACCCTGGGCTAATTTATCCATTTTAAGTTCTTGCTCTTCGAGCCTATTGAAGTGATTGGAACTCATTTTATGGGCATCACTATTTACATGTAAACCTTTAACGGTCATTATCCAGGGTTCATCGGTATTGCAGCCCGGCTTGGAATCATCACTGAAAATTAACAAAACAGTTTTATTAAAAACAAAACAATTTCTTAATATGAAAAAAACTTACGAATCGGAATTTTCAGATTCTGTTTCGCTTTCATCGCCTTTTTGTAGTTTCCATTTTTTATAGCGATCAATCAAATCAATAAGGTACGAATTTTTCTTAGCTTTTTTTATAAAAGGATACTTGAGTAATTCTTTCGCTGTGGGGCGCTGCAATTAATAACACAACAACAATAATTAAAGAGATTTACTTTCTTCATTTTAATTTAAACTACTTACATTCTCGGGATCCTTGTTAAGGCACGCTTCAACAAAATCTTTAAAGGATTTCGTATAGTTTCCCGTCAATTGTGGCGGATTGTTTTTGGGTATGAGAAATAAGACACGCATGGGATGCAGCTCTGAATTTGGCGGCTCACCTTTGGCCAATTCTATGGCCGTTATACCCAGCGACCATATATCGGCCTTGGAGTCATACATGGACTGTTTTATAACCTCGGGTGCCATCCAGAAGGGTGTACCCACAAATGTATTGCGTTTCGAGGTGGTGTTTGTCAATTGTCCGGCCACACCAAAGTCAGCCAATTTGACATCACCCATTTCGCTAAGCAAAACATTGGCCGCCTTAATATCACGATGTAACTTTCTTTCCGAATGCAAATAGTCCAGACCCTTGAGTACTTCACGCAGTATTATTGCTATATGCATTTCTTCGAAAGAACCAGCTTTCATTAGATCCAGAGCTGAGCCACCACCCAAATACTCCATAATAATCCAGAGTTTTGTACCCTTAAGAAAGGAGCCATAGTATTTGGTGACGAAAGGAGAATCGCACTGCGATAACACCATAATCTCCTGTTGAATGTCTTCGATTTCATCTTCGGCCTCTTCTAAATCAATTATCTTTATGGCTACCACCTAAATAAGTTATAAAAGATCATAGAATTGTATATCAAAATTTCATTTCTTTATGAAAATCTTACCTGTTGTGTACGATTATCAATGCCTTTGAATACTTCACCAAATGATCCCTTGCCAATACGTTCCTGCTTTGTGAAGATTAGCTCCGGGTCGACCTTTTGCTGAATGAAATGTTTGAAAATGTTTATAAATGAGAGAGTACGAGTTAAAAGAATAAAAATTAGTCGTAGGTCATGGAATTTCGATTTTCGAAAAAAAAAAAATAAATTTTATTAAAATGTTTATTTTTCACATTTTTCTTTTGAGAAAATTTTGAATTTCAGCGAAAATTTCAAGATTTTTAATACAAATTTTGAATCAGCTGAATTTTTATCTTTACGAAATTTAAAATTTCTTATGAAAAAATCAAAATATCTAAGAAAATTTTTATTTAATTTTTTTTAGTTTCAGATTTATGGAAAAAAATCGAACAGACCTTAATTTGAACCAGAACTGAACTAAGGCAGAATTGGAACTGAACTAGAACTGAACTAGAACTGTATTAGAACTGAACTAGAACTGAACTAGAACTGTACTAGAACTGAACTGGAACTGTACTAGAACTGAACTGGAACTGAACTAGAACTGAACTAGAACTGAACTAGAACTGAACTAGAACTGAACTAGAACTGAACTAGATCTGAACTAGAACTGAACTAGAACTGAACTAGAACTGAACTAGAACTGAACTAGAACTGAACTAGAACTGAACTAGAACTGAACTAGAACTGAACTAGAACTGAACTAGAACTAAACTAGAACTGAACTAGAACTTAACTAGAACTGTTCGAGATCTGATCAGGAACTGAAATTTCAATTCTGTGATAATTATAAAGACTGAAATATGTATAACTTAGAAGTATTAATTTGGTAAATTTATTAATGAAAATTTAATAAACCTGTTATATCTTCAAGATCTTTCATAAAAAGTATATTATTTAAAAATTGTATTTGTTACTCCCCATACACTCCCTACAGTTCCCCTTAATTATATAAAATTCCCCTAAACTCGACAGCCCTAGAAAGTTAAATAAATGTGTGTGTTTGTTGGTAGGTAAGACGTTTATAAAACGAGTGAAAAAAAAACTTAAATTCACAAGAATGTGGTTAAAAAGCAAAAATATGCGATAAAGTACAAAAAAAAATAAATAAAACAAATAGTAATTGATGATCTCATTTTTTGGCAGCTCTGGTGGAGAGGAGGTAATGGGAGTAGGTAAAAGGTAGCCCTTATCTTTAACATTATAAATAATAAAAAAATATTTTCCAAAATAAAAATAATTAAAAAATTACATACATAAGCAACTATAAGATCAGCTGCTTTAGTAAACTCTCAAACTCACCTCTGTCCACGACATAGTGGTGGTGGTGCTGGTGACGTCGGGCAGCTGATGAAAGCGGTGGCACTGTGTCAAACTGCCCTTGCAGTCGTTGCAACTACTGCCGTTGTTTGGGATACTAAGCTATGGCTTCCTCTTCCGCCTTTTGCGAGTTTTGCAAATACAAAAAACAAAACAACAAGACACTTCTCCCTTAATTGAAACGACAACAATGATCCAGCACAACGTCTACTTCCGTAAACATCAGCAGCAGCAACAACTGTAGCGGCAGCAGCAGCAGTAGTAGCTTTAACTCTAGGCATACACAAATACCACACTCGTTGGAACGGCGGTATCTTGTTCGAGTTGTTAGTGAAGAGAAGAAAGAAGTGCTAGAGTTATATTAGGCTAGTCAGCTAGGTGTGTGTTTGTGTGTGTGTAAAATGATCGTGGGACCTCTTTTTCAGTTACACCTAGTCAGTTAGTCAGACAGTCACTCACAACAATCACAACTGATATTTATTGTCAGCCAGCCAGGCAGCCAACTATTCAACAATTGGGTCTTGAACGGGAACAGTTTGACTCTCTATCTATCTATAGTATTGTTTCTTGTGCCACTTCTTCTTCGTGTTAGCTGTTGTTTCGCAACTTGCTGCATTCACACCAGCCACAACATACATACACACATTGAAAAAATTTGTATTATTTTATATATATTTTTGCTTTTTTTTGTTTTCTCAATACGATTTCTTTACGCTACGTTTACAATTCGTTGCCAGCCAATCAGTCAGTCAGCCAGCCAGCCCAATCTTTTGTCTGCTGTGGCCCTTAATTTAGGTTTTTCCCTTTTCAATTGTTCGTACTACTTGTCTTGGAGACAAATTAACAAATCATTTCTACACTTGGATCAATTTTTATTAAATTATTTAACTGTTCGTTTTTTGTATGCTCTTTGCATATAAATTAGAATCAAATTTGGAATTCTTTTTTATTTCTAATCTGTGTCGAAAGACAGATCTTGTTTTACCACTTCTTTTTCTATTTCATTAATTTCTTCCACTTGCTTTGTTTTCAATTTGTTTTTTACTGTCTGTTCGCTCTCTTTTTAGTATGTGGATTGTCTCTCTTTTACGTTTTTCTTGTTGTTTTTGCTCTTAAATTGTGACAGCCTTTTTTGTTAATCAACTTTCTTTTTTTTCAACGTTTGTGATTTTGCAGATTAGATTTGTTACAAATATTTTCTTTTCAGATGCACTTCTTTTCAAGAATGATTTTCGTTAAATGTTTTACAAAAATATGTTGTCGTATTTGTTGTTATAGTGAAAATAAACAATTTTTTATAATTATTAACAATAGCAGTTATGTAAATAAGTCAAATAACTTTACTACTACAATTATTCTTTTGGTGTTTTTGCTCTTTGATTCTTTACTAATTTTTCTGTCTTTCTTTTCATGTCAGTAGCACACGTATGCTATATATGAAAGCTAAATGCTCTGGAGTGACAGCTGATATTAAAAGAGATGCCACCGGGTTAAAAATAAGTTTAACAAGGTAAATAACTTTGTAAAAATAACTATAAAGGTTTAAAAATGTAATAATTTGCTACAAAATGATTTAATTACTTATATTTTAACTTTCTTTAGGTTTATAGCTTTTAATAAATGTAAACTTTTTAATAAATTTACCGTTATATTTTTTGTTAAGAACACTAACTGCAACCCTGTTGTAAGTTTAGCTATTGTTAATTTTCTTTCGCTTGACATTTTCATTAGTAGTTCGCGGTTTTTGCAAGCGTTAGTAAAGTTTTCATTTGGTGATAAGTTAATATTTTAAAATTATTATAAAAGTTTACAAATTATAAAAACATTAGATTTTAACAGATAAAATCATTCATTATATGTTGGTGCTTTAATTAACTATAAAATTCTGTGTGAAATGTTTTATTAAAATCTAAATAAATAACTGGTGGTTTAGTGTACCACTAAAGGGCCTGTTTTATTAGAAATTTGTTGTGGTGCAATTTATTTATTACAAAATAAGTTAAAAGTTATTGCAAGTTGAGAAAATTATGAAAAGTGTAAAGTTTTTTAAGTGTGTTCATAAATATTTATCAAAAAAATGGTTAATTAAAGTTAACAAACAAATTGTTCTACGGTTGTTTGTTGTGTTGTTCATTCTTCTTCTTTTTCTTTGGTGTTGTTCGTTTGACTTAAGTCATTTGCTATACGTATATGCAAGATGTTGGGCTATGAAAACCTGTTAAAGAGTTTATGCAGCTGTCAGCTTTTGAATGTAAGTATAATTTTGAATATTTTTATTACTTTATGTCATCTTCTTTTTTCTTTTACTATTTTCGTTTTAATTTCCTTTTCCGTATTTGCAATTATATTGTATTAGCTTTATTTCCTTTTCCGTTAAGATATTTAAATTGAATTTTGCTCAATTTAAAGTAAATTTTATTTTAAATTGAATCACAAATTATGAAATAAAGTTAATTAATTGTACATAATGACATTTTATATAATAACTACAATTTTATATAATAAATATGTTAATTACATACTTATGTATGAACATTAGGTTGGTCCCGATAGTATGTAGAAATATGTTACTGATTTTTTCAACGAAAATTAAAGTTTGGTTCAGTAAAATGTACAATTTTTTGCACCGAAACGAGGTTTTTGTTTTTCAGTTCCAATCTAAATCAAGTTTTATTTGTCTTTTTTGAAATAAACCTTTCAAATTATACCAAAATGGCCTGATGAATGAAAATACATATATATCTGTTTTGTAAGAAATTTTGAAAAAAATCTAAAAACCTCAAAAGTACTTTTTTAGCCTTTTATAAATTTTGTTATTGTGTGTTTTATTGGTTTTTTAGTTATATGTATTGTTTTAATTGATTAACTTTCACGAATTGTTTTGTGTGTGCGTTTTCTTTCTTTTTCACTCTTGAGAGTTTTTGTAGCAAGTAACTTTTGTATGTTATGCTCGTACATATAAAAGCTAATGTTAAATGAAAACTTGTTTTAATGTACAATGACAACATTTTAGAGTTTTTGTAGCATTCAACATACGAATAAAAGAATATCTTTTAAATTATTAGATTTCCGCTTCCGTTAAACATATTTAAATAGCGTTAGGGGGAATTCAGAGCTTTTTTAATACTTTTTTGAAAACTATTAAAACAAACGGCAAATAAAGTGTAATAATTATGAATAATTATATTAGATGACATATTTATGAAGAATTTTAATTTAAAACAACATTTCTTTTTAATAATTAAGTACTTTTGCTTGATGATGATGCCTTTATATAAATTACAGTAGATGTTTATATGAAGAAATGTTTTGTTGGTATTTGTCTAGACTAATATTTTACACAGAACAGGGTGACCCATTACTAAAATTATCGTTAAATAATTTAAATGTTAATTTGAACATTTTTACTTGTATAAGGTTGTTTTTGGAGGCTTTAAGTAAGAAATTTAAATATTACAAAAAAAAGATTTTACTATTTTGAAATAAATATTTAAAATTTTCTTTCGCTTAAGCAAAAACATTTCAAAAATTTTTTTAATTAAATTATAATTCATTTTCAATTTAATACTACAAAACTGCATTACTTTTATTTACAAAAACTTTCATTTTGTATATTTTTGTTAACAATCGATAAATATATCCTTTGTTAAAAATTATTATTGTACAAACAACAAGTATTGTTATTCTCTGTCTCAATTTAAAGTGATGACTGTATTAAAATCCAGAAAAATGAGATTTTGTTTAATAACAATTGTGTTTCTTCCTTTATTTCCTTTATATTTGTGGTTATTATTGAAAAAGAAAACAAAAATATTGTTAGAATTTAACAAAATCTTTATAAAATTCTTATATTTCTATGAAAATATTAGACAAATGTTGGAGCGTATGTGAGTAAAGTAACAGTAGTTGGTTAGAGCTAAAAGTATAGTAAAAATAAGATGAAAATGGAGTAATAGTGAAAACTTTAAGAGCTTCTCTTATGATCCAGGGTCCTTTATATTATGACTGCTGGTTGCAATTGGTTTTTGATCTGATGTTTTCTTTGTATTCTAACTACTGTAGAACTTCCTTTTAAAACCCCTGTCTTAGTGTACGTGTGTGGTATTTAAACAAACAAATATTTGTATAAAAAAAATCCTTAAAAAAAACAACAAATAAAACTTAAAAAAAGAGAATATTTCATAGAGCTTTTTTATACATAAAATTCTGGTCATCTGTAGTTTTGAAATCGCAGTTAAATACTCACATGTTCCTGTTGTATGTATGACGGAATTCCCTATACATACATACGTACATACGTATGTATGCATGTTCGTCTGTGTATATATTGATGTTTCAGTGCAGTTTTTGAAAATAACATGATGACCATTTTGCTGCAGGCGTTACGTGTTATTTGTGTTTAGTCAAGCGTTAGGGGAAAGCTAGAGCATCATAGCAAGCAAGCACTTCAAACTCCAAGCATTCACTAGATTTCCAGAATTTTATTTTCATTTTTTTTCTCTGTATATTTTTCACAAATACCTACAAATGTATGCAATGCTCGTATATGAATGCAGATATGACTAAAACTACGTATGTACATATATACATACATATACATTCATTAAATTATTCCTATGTTTATGTCTGTCTGTTTGTATGTATGTATGTATATGGGGACCCTTAACTTGTTCATACCTTTAATAAATCCATGGATTACATTTTAAACTTAGAGAGGTCATACAGATGTATGTTTTGTTAGTTATTCTAGTCAGCAGCTAGTTGGTATTAGTTAGTTGTAGCATGCCTATTGAAATGTTTTACACAATATATATTTATGTTTATTTCTTTTTGGGTATTTAAAAATAAATATAGAAATATGATTGTAATTATCCTTAGGGACTATTGTTTTGTTATTAAAAATAAAATGGTTTTCAAAATCAAAATTTCATTCGTCTTTAGCACGCTAGCAGTGATCACATATTAACCGTACATTTCTCCTCCTCCCCCCCCCAAAATACTTGTAAATATACCAGCAATTTAGTGCTAAAATCTAAGATAAACATTTATTCATATTCATTTTTTGTTTATAAAACAAATTTTTGTAAATGTTTTTACGCTGCCAAAAAAAAAAAAAAAAAAAAATTCCCAACATCTTACTATTATGATTAACTTAAGTATGTCTTAACAGATTCCAAATGCTTGTGCACATATTTTCCACAAATATTTTATATTCCATTTGTAAATTGTTTGTAAATCCAAGAAAAGCTTAAGCTTTTTTGTTGTCCCATTCCAACGAAAAGGAAAAATATGACAAAAATATGAAATAAAAAGAATTTAAAAAGAATTGTAGAATGTTGTTGTCTTAAAGCAACAACAGCTACATAGGTTGTAGCTATTGCTATTTAAAAGAAACCTGTAACCAAGACCTTTTATTAAGCCAATGACAAACAAGTTGTGGTATAAAAAGTATAAAAAGGCAAGTTGTCGTTTTACATAATAAATGGGAAATATGTATAAGAGAACAGCCGAATAAAGTGGTATTCCAAAGAAATACTTTCCGGATAAATTCTGCAACAAGTTTTTCCAAATGGTTTAAAACTATTTATAGCGATCAGCTGTAAATATGCAAAAATGTCCGTTCTTTGTTATATACTCCAGAAAAATGTTACTGACATAATCGTTTTTCTTGTTAAAACGGCGTCTCTTCGACTCTACTTGACTATTCGCGTGCGGTGAACTACCACGATAACCAATAGTTTTTCCAATTCCGAGATTAGTTTATTGGTTGTAGATTCCTAATCAAAAGAACTATCACTTTAATATGGACTTAAAAAGTTCAGATCCTCACACCCGCCTCCGGGGCATGTTTCCTTGATGAACCACTCTCAACTTGGTGTTATTGTAATCGAGGGAAATAGAGGTGGTCAAATGACTTATTTATGGAGCGCACAACAGGCCCGATAGTGGCCTAGGTGTATTTCTTCGGATTTGATGTAGTATACATCCTCCTATCAACCTACCTACCTACCTACCTACCTAACTCGCGGTTTGGGCTATCTTATCTGGTATAAATTAAGGCAAAATTTATCTTTTAATGATATGAGATGGCCTCGGGTTACATGTAGTGGTTGTGATTGAAATTCTGATCGCGGAAAAAGAATGTTCGTTAAAGAGATTAATATTTCGAGATATGTTTCCGGTGCAGGTGGCGTCTTGAAGCCGCTACGGAGTGATTGCGGAGATCATATTATTCTGTTCATATCTGACCAATCGCTGTGTGTAAGGACAGCTATACTTATTAATGAAGATCGCAATTAGAGTCCAAAATACATTCCAGCACTAGTGTGTTGTTCTTTTGTCCCCCAATACTTTCCGGAAGAACCCATCTCAAATTGTGGTTTTAATGGAAGGTTTGGTCTGAAGATT